GTTCAATGATGAGGATCTGTTGTTAGGAAATAAAAAGCATAATGAGACCCCTTCTTATGTTCGGTGAGATTGATGATCTCCCCATTAATCGCATAAGGATTGATGGTGGTTCAACCATAAACTTGTTACCCTTGCGCACTCTTAAAAAGATTGGGTATTCTAAAGGAGACCTATGTCGCTCAAATGTTGTCATTCATGGCTTTAACCAAGCTGGTCAAGAAGCATTGGGTACCATATCTCTGGTTCTAAAGTTTGAAAATCTTATGACATATGTATACTTCCATGTCATTGATGCGGCTACCTCATATAATGTTCTTTATCATTGCCCATGGCTGCATGAAAATGGAGTTGTTCCATCTACTCTCCATCAATGTATCAAGTATAAAGATCCTTCAGGGAGCGTAATAAGGATTTTTTCTGATAAAAACCATTCACTATAGCAGAATCCTTTTATGCTGATGCAAAGTTTTATTTTGAGCCTATTGATAAAGTCTCAAAACCAAAATCATCATTGCCGTGGGAACAAAATATCCCAAAGATAGAAGATGTCAAGTCTTCATCCAGCCAAAAGATATACCAATACATACCAAGCAATCAAAGGAAGGAAGGCGATCCGATATTTCGCATCATAAGTAAACCCTCTCAAAATAGAGGTATTTCATTTCCAACTCCTTTACCTCCTTTGGTGCAAAATAAAATAAAACAAGTCCAAATTGAAAGGGATAATAAGAGTAAATTGGTTACACAGGTCACTTTGTTAAATAAAGATGATAAAACATTACCCATCTCTCTATATGACAACAAAGTTCTTTATATTATGCAACAAATGGGCTATGATATTTCTACCGGTCCTTCTTTATGCGATGGCAAAGGCAGCTCGCACCATTTGAAAAGTTGATGTCTCAGGCTCAGCTTGAAGCCTTGCACCAAGATCAAGCATTAAAAGAAGAGAAATATGGGTTAGGCTATGAAGTTAATATGACCTCTGCTGAACCTCTTGATGCTACAGAAGCATCTCCACAAATGGAAGATGGAAATCAACCAAGCTGTTGATGAGTTGGAAGAAATTAATATCGGCACAGACGACGATCCTCGCCAATCTTCATTAGTAAATATCTATCTAAAGAAAGTAAGGAAGAATACCATAAATTTCTTTCTACAAATAGAGATGTCTTTGCTTGGTCTTATGAAGAAATGCAGTGTCTAGACCCAACGAAGTGGTCATGCATAAATTGGCCGTTCGAAAAGATGTTCCTCCTCGGTGAAGCAAGGACAAAGAAGATATCGTCAGAACTTCTCCCACAAATAGAAGCTGAAGTTGATAAACTCATAGTCTTTGGATTTATTCGAGAAGTGAAATACCCCAAATGGGTGTCTAGTATCATGCCCACGAAAAAGAAAAATGGGAGATCCGTGTATGTGTGGATTTTAGAGATTTAAATAAAGCTTTGTCCAAAAGATGAGTTTCCAATTCCAATCTACGAAATCCTTATTGATGCCACTATGGGATATGAAATATTCTCCTTCATGGATGGTTTCTCTGGTTACAACCAAATAAAAATGTCACTAGAAGATGAAGAGTTGATGACATTCCGTACACCCAAGGGCATATATTGTTATAAAGTGATGCCCTTCGGATTAAAAATGCAGCGCCACGTATCAACGTGCAATGACCATTGTCCTTGATGGGTTGTTGTATGAAATCGTTGAGTGCTATATAGATGATATCGTTGTAAAATCTAAGCACGAGAAAGATCACTTAAAACATTTGGAAATGGTGTTTGACCGCCTTAGAAAACATAAATTAAAGATGAATCCTATGAAGTGCGCCTTGAGTATCTTGAGGAAAATTCCTTGGTTTCATAGTCACCAAGCGTGGAATTGAAATTGACCCTACTAAAATAAAGACAATTGTCGACATGCCTCGACCAACAAACTTGCATGAATTAAAGAGCCTCCAAGGCCATTTAGCATACATTAGAAGGTTCATCTCAAACCTGTATCGGGAGGTGCAAACCTTTTTCCCGACTCATGAAGAAAGGAGTCCCGTTTCAATGGGATCAAGCATGTCAAAATGCATTCGAGGACATAAAAAATATTTAACAAATCCTCCTGTCCTAGGCGCGCCAATTAAAGGCGACCATTAATCCTCTATCGGCAGCCATGCCGACTTCATTAAGCGCTCTTTTGGCACAAACCAATGATGCAGGAAAGAAGTCTCCTATATTATTTAAGCCGCACCCTACTGTGGGGCAGAGCAAATTACCGGATATAGAAAAAATATGCCTGGCACTTGTATTTGCAGCACAAAAGCTTCGCCATTACATGCTAGAACATACAATACATCTTGTCTCGAGAGCTGATCCACTCCGACATATCTTAAATTAAAATGACATTATCTGGTAGATTGGCTAAGTGGGCAATGTTCCTTTCACAATTTGATATTGTGTTCGTGCCTCAAAAACCTATTAAAGGTCAAGCTTTGGCTAATTTTCTAGCCGCACATCCCATACCGATGACTTTCCCATTGATGATGATCTGCCAGATGAGGTAGTCTTCACCACTACGGTGTCTAAGCCTACATGGCAAATGTATTTTGATGGTGCTTGCCGGAAATCAGGAGGCGGTAGCAGGGGTCGTGTTTGTCACACCGGACGAAGCAATACTTCCATATTCCTTCACATTAACTTCAGCGGTTTCAAATAATGCTGCTGAATATGAGGCTCTAATTATTGGGCTTGAAATGGCTCACAATATGGGTTTAAACACACTCTATGTATATGGAGACTCCCAATTAATAATTAACCAATTGTTGGGAACATATGCGGTAAAAAAGCAAGGGCTTTTGCCATATTTTTGGAAGGCAAAAGAACTAATGGCTATGTTTGTTGATCTAAAAATTCAGCATGTTATGAGAAGCCAAAATGAGAAAGCAGATGCATTGGCAAGCTTAGCTGCCAGCATGTCACTAAATCCATATCAAACCGTGGATGTTCACGTAGAGGAACGAAGAGTCCTCCCCATACTTACTGAGGAAGAATACATACCATCTACTTCAGCCATGACTATAGATACGTACGAAATTGAGATGGGTGATTGGAGAACACCTTTTCTCGATTATCTCCTTCATGGATATTTGCCCCTAGATTCTAGTGAAAGGTCTAGGATTCGAAAGAGATCATTGAATTATACATGTATAAACGACACGCTCTATCGGGCGTTCATGCGATGGCATTTACTTGTTGCCTTTGCAGCAACGAGGTAATCAAAGCTTTAAATGAAGTTCACTCTGAGTGTGCGGCGACACCAATCTGACCCAAGCTACACTACCAACTAAGACATTTGGGTTATTATTGGCCTACAATGTTTGATGATTCTATGAAATTTGCGAAGAAATGCCATGAATGCCAAATACATGGTAATTTCATACATCAACCCCATGAACCATTACATCCGACTAATATGTCTTGGCCCTTTGAAATGTGGGGAATGGATGTAGTTGGGCCAATAAATCCCCCGTCTTCCAAGGGACACAAATTCATTCTTGCCGCAACTGATTACTTCTCTAAGTGGGCAGAAGTTGTAGCACTAAAAGAAGTCAAAGCGGAAAATGTTGAAAACTTTATAAGAACCAATCTTATATATCGATTTGGGGTTCCAGCCCGAATGATATCTGATAATGGCACGTCTTTTAAAATAGACAAATAGAGAAGATGTGTGCTAAATTCAGAATTAAGCATCACTTCTCACAAAGTTATAATCCGCCGCTAATGGTCAAGGAAGCATTCAATAAAGTGCTATGCAAGTTGCTTAAAAGATGGTCTCACAAAATAAGAGACACCTTGGCATGAAAAGTTACTCGAATCCTTGTGGGCATATAGGACCACGACTTCGGGGACGCCAACGAAAATGACTCCTTACTCACTTGTGTATGGAGGAGAGGCGGTCCTGCCACTAGAGGTGCAAATTGCCTCCTTAAGAGTTGCTATCCAAGAAGAACTCAATGAAGATGAATCGGCAAAATTACGCCTAAGGGAACTAGACATCCTCGAAGAAAAACGTCTTCGTGCATTGCAAAACTTGGAGGCATACCAAGCTAGAATGTCCCGAGCTTTTGACAAGCGCGTAAGGAGGAGGTCGTTCAAAGAAGGGGATTTGGTTCTAGCGGTCATTCGGCCTATGAATATTACTCATCGAATGTAAAGCAAATTCGAGCCTAAATGGGAAGGTCCTTATATTGTGAAGGATGTCTACTCTAGTGGCGCTTATAGAATCATATCCCGGATGGCGTAGTATTGCCCACCGCCAGTAAATGGAAAATTTCTAAAGCGTTACTATGCGTGAGGAAATATGCATATTACGCTCCATTGCTACAGGAGCCTAAACTGTTAGCACCCAAAAAAAATGCTCCTTCATGAGCCTAACTGTAAAGAAGACATATGCTCAATTGCTTCATGAGCTTAAACTGTAGCATCAATTACAAAAAAAAACAACAACAATGCTTCGTAGCTTTAAGAGCTTAAAGTGAAAGTAGAAAGATGCTCCTGCATGAGCCTAAACTGTAAGAAAAAAAAATACTACATTGCAGCATGAGATAGTCTAAAGTGCCAGTTACAAAGTTTAATTTGTGGGCAGCATGCAATCCATGGGTTTCACTATATTCGGTTACAGGACATTGGTTTACCAACTATGTATAAAAAAGAAGAGACGGATAAACGTAACAGATCAATGAGCCTTTCAATGCATTGGAAACAAATAAAGGTTCTGATGCACATCTGAATTAAATAAATAGTTCGGAAGTAAACCACTGATAATTACAAAGCCAAATGAAACATGACACATGTCCCATAAACTGAAGAAATAAATGTTCATAATTAACTATAGGAAATAAAATACTCAAAGTCTGACATAAAGCTTGACAAAGCGAATGATCAGCTGGATCCATCAGTTGACTTGGGAGAGGGTTTCAGCTGGATCCAAATCAGTTGACTGGTTGGGAGTCAGCCAACAGTATTTTGGTCACAAAAAATCAGCAGATCAGTCAAACCAAAGCTTCTCAGCTCAGCTTCCTGGATAGGAACCATCGTCTTTGCCCGGAGGTCATCATTGGCTCTCTTGTTTGCCTTTGTAGTGGCATCACACAGCGCTTGTTCTTGCTCCTTCACTTCTAATTCCTGGGCAGACTGAGTCTTCAATAGCTTTTCCTCCTTCTCCTCCAGTTCCTTCAAGGCAAGGTTAAACTTGGCAACTTCTGCTAAAAGCTCAGCTTTCCTCTCTTCAACTGAAATCATTTCCTGGGCGGTAGCTTGAGAGCATTTTTCTTAACTGAAAGCTCTTGTTTAACCTGGCCAACAGCTTGGTCTACTCGCCCAGAGCTTGCTTCAAATTCAGAGTGGGCAAGTTGCAATTGTTGGGAAATAGCAACCAGTTTGTCCAGCATAGCTTTGATCTTGGAAATGCTAGCAAAATTCCCAGGGAGACTAGTCGAAGTAAGTTGCAGGGCGGCACATCGCTCCGGGTCTTTCAATGTAGTAACATCCAGCCCGTTGAGAACCTTTAGTGACACCTGATATGCTGTTGCCAAGAAAATCTTCTCGATCTCAGTCGCGTCCATGCTTTGCGTATCCTTAGATAACGCTTGGCCGGAGGATGGATGGTCAAGCTGCTGTCCACAATCTAAAAAAAAAGACATTAAACAAGTTCGTAATGGAATATGGTTGTTGCGTGCACAAACAACATCTACAGATTTAATAAAAAAAATACCATTGATAAAAGCTGAAATTTCAGTTGAGTCAATGTCAGGAAGAACAACACGAGTCATATTATACGGGGACTTTGAAAATCCCCACCTGACCCCGTGTGGTAGTAATGTAGCTTTCAATAGAAGGAAGAGGCTGTAAATTGCCTTTCTTATCCACTATACCGAAATCTGTAATGACTGTATAATCTTCATCTTCTTGATTGGGATCTTCGTCAACGGGAGTGACGTTGGGGACAAGTGCAATGGCTGGGCCACAACCCTCATCCATATCAGTAAAATCAAGCCTTCTCTTGGCTGGTGGATCCCCATTATCTCTTGAAAGGATATTCAAGGGTGGGTGACGCTTCTTGTTGTTCTCAACTGGCACAATAATTTGATTATCTATCAAATTCTCTTTTGCCAACAGGTTGTCAAGTAACACAGGTTGGGATGAAGGACCGGCAACAGGGTTTGTTTCAAAGTGATCCCGCTCCTAAAAAAAAATAAGAAAGGAGTAAAATCAGTCATGAGAATAGAATTAATCTTCTTATAACCACACTAGTTCATATGATGGACAAGGGAGAAGGAAAATATACCATGGCTGTTTGACCCTGATAGTCGACCTGTACACCCAGAAGGTTGTGCAGCTCTCTCTTCCAATGATCATTATTGGTCATCTCTTTATTCATGATAGATACAAGATAATCCTGAAGATGTTCTTCAGCTACCCTCTGCACCACAGTCAAGTCACGAGAGGATAGATTTCGAGGAGCAAGACCTGGGTGTATATGATAATCACATTGTCTAGCCCCGAAACTGATAGGGTCATAGAGGTTATCTTGGCCCAAGCTGTGTAAAATGGAGTTAAATGGTTCTATGAAAGCACTGAACCATCTAACCCAAGCCAGTGAAGCACGTCCTACACGATACTCATCTGGTATGAGATGCGAGTCCTCATATATCGGGCGTAGAAGATGTCGCCAGTGAGCATATGCTATCCCAACGTCAGATTCAGTTACCAAACTAGTCAACGGAAGATGAGGAACAACTTGATCCAACCCGAACTGTCTAGCTGCACGTTCCGGGTGGTATGGCTCCAAAATGCAAAAAGTCCGTCTTGTATGTAGCAATTCTCCA